CGCGCTCTGTCTTTTACACACATCTATGTGTATATAAGAGAGTATATATATATATATATATATATATATACATTGAACAAATAAACAGGATGTCAGTATTCTATGACAAAGAGATTAACGTGGATAAACCAGCACTAATTTCTATTTTTTCTTTTAATATACACTCTACGAAAAATATAATCATTACGTCCAAGCACATCCATCCCAATGCACAAATATATGCTTATCTTCATTACTTTTTGGTAGGTTGAGGTGGGGAGGGGCCTAAGAATTGTGTTCACTGAAATAAATCATAGTAGGCCTAATTAACAGTCGATTTCCATGGCACGTAGGCCAATTCACGAAATGTACTAAAGATATTCTCACCATCTTCGCAGCCAGTTCCTTCGTATCCAGATGGACAGATGCACACGTATCCAATTATGGTATCATTACATATTCCGCCGTTAAAACATGGATTCGAACTGCATTCATCTATACGGTATGTAAATACAGTAAAGCATTATTCTTTATTGTCAAAAAATATGTTCATTACAGAAACTTAGCAAAAAGTAGACGATCATCAACATGCAAAACGCAATACTATTCAGTGGTGGCGCCATGATTCGCCGGAACTGTGTGTGGGGTGGGGAAAGGTTGATATCCCAGGAAGCCAATGCTCGCGATAAGAGCGTGGTCGGACGTTATTCGGAAAAAAGGGGGTTCCAGGGGCAAATTAACAATTTAGTGATTTCAAAGGCTTATTTAATCAATCTTACAGTCTATACAATCAATATGAAAAATTCATGTAGATAGTTTTACTCCTTGACGAATGGTCATTTGCGAGCTCTCCCCGACGGGTGGGTGGGGAGAGGTGGGTGCTGCTGTGTTTATATCTACGAAAGTTCTACAAGTTTTGTGATGCTCAAAGCTCACTCCTCTAGACTTATTTAGATTTTCTGCATTTTAATATCAGATTGAAGGCATTTCTTTGCAGATAAAAGCACATCGTATGTTTTACGTGTAACTTCATTGTGACTGCGCGCTCAACTTAAAAACAACTTTTAAACGACAAGAATGGATCTTTGGGGGGATTCATTAAATCAATAATTATATAAACTCATAAATTATAGTATCGGTAGACATAAGAAGTGTGTGACTTTAACAAAAATACGGGATTCGAATTCGGGTCTCGTACCTAAATCATAGCAAATAACACCGGCATCGTGGTTGTGTGCGCATTCATCGCTGATAATCATCTTTCGACTGCAATGTAGTATTGACGATTCATTTCCAAAGCACCCTAAATCTTCCATTAATGAAACGTCGCCGTCGTCGCCTTCCCCGTACTGGCTTTCCCCAGGGGCTTCACGAGCACCTGGTAAGCCGAGACTGGAACACAGGACGTCAGCGTCTGTTAGGTCCCACCCGATGTCGCATACCCTACTCCATACACCATTCACGTATACAACTACACGACCTTCTCGTTCATTAGGTCCGTCCTCCAATCGAACTGTCATTGTAAGTGAGAGTACCGGTAACAATACAGTAAATAATTCAATTTATTAGATTTTTATTTCCCTGAATTACCGATCCATATACTAATTTTCAGTTAGTGTTTATCTAAAAAAACATATACCAACATTAATTAGAGAATCTTAGTCCCACGAGACGAAAAATGTTTTATCATGGTCACAGTTACTTTCACATAAGATGAAAATCATGCTTTTAAAAGTAAAACAATATGGAGTTATTCTTTATTTATCGTATTTTAATCTGATATAAAAATACCACTCTGTGTGAGACGAAATGAATATGATTATATTATAATAAAATAATAATACTATTATTATGGTGATGACAAATATTACGCTGTTACCTTTGATTTAACTTACAGGGCTTTTTACACACCACACTTGCTATAGTGTAGCCTTCCCCACAGTTAGCAGATAGACCGGATGTGCTTAAAGTGCACTGCCTCAAATGCATTTCTGTCCCACTGCAATCGACTTTGCTATATTTCACAGGCCTAGGACTTGACTCAAACTCATTGGCATGAGATTGTCGCTCAGCACCTGGAAAACCCAGTGTTTGGCACACTACGTCGGCGTCAATCAACAACCAATTATCTTCGCATATTGTGCCCCATCCTAATCCATAGCTGACTTCGACTATACCACTGTATTCGTCCCCATTTACAACGCGAACTAGATTGATAAACAAAGACAGTACAGTATATCAGAATTATAAATCACAATTCTAGCAAAGGCACCTTGACTCTACTTCCATACGGTAGAACCTCCCCCACCGAGCATGAACCCTATATTTAACCCATCCATGTTTAGTATTATAAACTGGAAGTTCAGTTAGTTTATAATTGAAAAGTACTTTAAAATGGTATCCCATATCCCGGGCGCATATCGTTAATATATTTCAGTAAGTTTCTTGCCAATTGCTATTTAAATTTAATATCATCATCTTAAACTAAACATCTATTGTTGGAAATATATATCATGGGCCTAAACATAAACTAGTAATGCACATGAAAACAAAACACCACATACAGTACATGGTAAATCCGTGTATATCTTAGCTTTAAACGAACGTGTAAGGGTTGTTTATCTATCATGAATGAAGTCCTCGCATTTTAATAATATAAAAATTACAGATATAATTTCTGATTTTGATTTTGAAATACTTTATAATCTGTGATTCCCATAAGTAACTAACTGCCGGTTTTAGTCCTCTGTTCAACAAAACATGTTTACATACACTTCAGTAACAATACAGTCAGGGACACAACAGAAACACCAAGTAACCTGTACAGTTAAAGCTCAGCGCAGACATAATTTGTGATGGCCAATTAAAATAAGCGCATGTTTGAATATATTTTTCTTCTCTTGTGGGTACCTTATTTTCATATACAATGATTTACATGGACATAAATCAGCTGACCTGTAGCATTTAGCATATATTTTCGTTCCCTGTGGCATCTTTAAAACCTAAATACAGTAAATTAAACCATGGAGAAATGATTGACTGGCCTTTCTGTATCAGCTCAGTATTTATTCTGTAAAAGCCTGTGCAAGTTAGAAGGTGGAGTTTCTATCAATCATCCAATAGAATCAGTGAATTATCTAGGGGTGTGCGGGGGAGGAGAGGGGGTGGAGTCGCACGCTCCTCCAAAAATTTCTCGCTCCCCCCACTCACCCCCGACCAAATTCACTTGCAAGTAGTTAAAAATAACCTAAAATCACCTTATTTTGCTGGTTAGCGCCCCTTAGCTGATCATCGATCCCCCACCCACTGCACCTTCGCGCCCTCATCACCACATGGAGTTATAATTATAATTTATTCAAAATAATTATAACTCCATCAGCACACCTATTTCTTGACTTCTATTGAAGTAGCGTATCTATAGATACACCACTGAATAAAATCAAGAGTCCTTAGAGACTAGGAAAGTTCGTGGGTTTTCTGCTGTTCCATACTTGATTGATTGTACTTATTATGATATAAAACAGTGTTTCATCAAACAAAATCGACTTATGGGGCGCCGTTTGGGACATTGCTATTTAAGTCTTTAAGCATTCTGCACAAAAGTATTACTGTCATGTATACATAATTAATTCTGTTGTTACAGAATTATTACTGTCACACTGTTATGTGTGCATAATCAAATCGGTTGTTACAGTAATAATTATCTACCACAGAATTATTACTTTCAGAACTTTCTGTGTACAGAATTAATTCTGTGTTAACAGGAATAATTATGTACTACAGAATGATTTTATTGGATGTTCAATATAATATGCGCAGATTATAAGCTGGTATACAAAGGCTAGCCAATCATTTCACATGGTTCAGTCTACTGTATTTAGGTTTTAAAGATGCCACAGGGATGTTTAATGGAAACTTCACCTTCTAATTTGCATAGGCATACAGAATAAATCTTGAGTAGACAGAATTAAATTTTTGTGGTGACCCGTACAATTAGGGTAGTACGGAATTGATTCTGTACTAGAGAATAGTTAGAAAGTAACAATTCTGTAGTACAGTTTTGGAATGCAGATATTCTCCTGAAGACGATTGAAGCAACTCAATCGAAACGTCGAGATATTCTCAACCAACAACAATAGTTCTTTTCAGAAGTATCTACGTGGTGTACCGCAAGCATTAATATATAATACACATAATAGTTTGACAGTAATAATTCTGTGGTACATAATTATTTCTGTAACAACAGAATGCCTATTTAAAGACATAGATAGCAACGTCCCAAACAGCGCCCCGTAGAACAGCCGTTAGTGTAAACAATTGCTAAATCAATTTTGCAGGCAATAAGCGCACCTGGTAAAGCAGAGCGCCATCAGTGATAATTTTTTAGGCGACATTTGTGAACCCCGGTGAAACGTTTCCTCTTGCGATCGTTTCACCTTCGTCGAAACAAGGTGAAAAGTTTGAACACTTTCTGATAAGGATCATATAATTCGATGCTAAGATAATGTACCAGTAAGTCACCGTTTTTTGTCTAAAGAAATCACTTTTAAAACGTTTTTAATTGAGAATCAAAATTTTCAATTTTTTCTTCAGCCTTTGTATATTAATATTTATTTTATTATATTTAAATTAAAATTGATGTCCAGGATTTAAATTTCACTTTAAAAAAAATTTCTTAATTTTTTTTAAATTACAGAATTCAAAACCAAAAAAAAGACCCCTATTACCTCTTAAACAAACACTCTGTACAGCTTCACGCGTTGCACCGAACATGAGCAGCGCACATGAAGAGTTTATTCTATTCGGTGAAAGGTTACCTCGTTTCGTCTTTTTACATAGCTAAGCCTATCTTTAAAGCAATATCACTTTATATTATATAAAAAACAATTATATACTTTTCCTTTCACTAATACGGATTATGGAAAAACGAGCATTGTCCTATAAAAAAGGCGTGATAAACGTATGTGGCAATTGCACTACAAAATTGATGTCCAAGGCCACAGGCATATTTATAAATCATTAATTTGCTAAAAGTACGGTACTGTAACTCACAGACTAAAAGGAATAAAATAAATTAAAGGGTCAGCTTTAATCGTTACCTTCCCAATCTTGGCAGACAACTCCAGCGAAAGGTTGTGATCCATGACAACAGCTATCTCCACGGCATATTTGAAGCTTGCAAGAACTGAGGCTGTCTGCAGAGATCGAACAGGTGATACCGTTATAGTAGATAGATGAATTCACGCCTGTGCCCTGTAGCGAAGTGATTTCAGAAACCGTAATTAATTATCATAAATTGTTATCTGTTAGCCCACGACTGTTGAAAGTTAGGACAGGCCTTTAATAATTGGTGAATCAATTGTACAAAGATATTAAAACATAATGCTTTTAATTCTTACTATACTATTGTTTTTAATTCTAAGTGCGATTCTCGTGAGCGATTCTCGTATCATGTATATAATGTAACTTTTCAATGTTGTATATTTTAGGCTTTGATGTATATTATTATAACAATATAAATAACAGAAATGATTATTTATTTGTTCTTTGTGTTGTTGTGATGTATATTTTTTTTATATGATAGTCTTATACGGTGTATTTCATTACTTAAAACTTAGAGCCGGTGTTCATCGCTGTTAGTTTTTGAATGAATAACAAAAATGCAATTTTTAATACATTCAATACTTTTAAGTAACTTTTATACAATTTAAAATATTAGCCTATCACAATCAATTCATTGTTGTCACTGATATTTGGGAATAAAATAAATTGGAATTGAAACTGAATTGAAAAGGGATCAGCTGATTGCAAAACAACGTAACCTGTTAGCCCGCTTACCGTCAGTCTCGTTACACTTGCAGCTGATGGGAAGCCGAGCTGGTGGCAGACGACTTGAGCAGCATCCATATTCCAGTTATTAGAGCAGATAGCTTTCCATCCATTTACATACACTTCTACAACACCTTCAGTGGCACTGCCGACCAATCTGACGTCATCTAACAAATAAACACAATATGGAATATCATTATAATAGGCCTAGTATGATTATTCGATGGACTAAATGAATGACGAAAATACCAATAGGCCAAATTCGGAGTAATTATACAAATAAGAGGACGGCCACGAGTTCCAATACCAATACGAATTTTCCTATGTTTTCACACTGTCTACTTAAAATACCACTGTCATTAGAACATAGATAAAATACAAGTAATACAATACATTATTATACCAAATGTATTATATTAACCTAACCAGATCTTACACTTATAATAATTAACATATGGAAACTTATTCCTATTTAACTATAACAAAATAATTTCAACATAAGGAAGTGTTCAAAAAAGTTGTCGGTTTAGAAAGTTTTTGTCCCAGATATTAAATTTGATGCATCTAAAGCATGAAAAGTTTGCATTAATTATTTAAAGGTCGAACAAATATTTATATTAAGTTGACGAAGTAGGCCTATATGTAATGGTGTGAAATAAACCGTGCTAGCTAAAATAGTTGCCTCTGACCTACCAGACTTACTCCTTGCATCTTTTACAATTTTGGAAATCCATTGGATTTTTAAATCTTATTGTAGAACCTTGTGAGTCATTTTTTTAATCATGTAGATTTGAATTTTCAACAAATCTTTGTGCTTCCGGGTATAATCCATTTACTAAGGCTTTTTTTCTTCCATTGACACGATCTAAATATTATTTTGTAATCGGACACCATGTTAAAATAAGTTATTTTTTAAGATTAACTTTCATCGTTTCCGTCCGTCATTTCAAACGGTTCTTTTTCCATCTTTTTTCACTTGAAAAGCCCATGGTTTCTTGCAAATATGCTTACTGATACAACAAAAACATATTTTTTTAAATATAAATTTGATTCCATTCTTATGACTTTCTATATATGTGTCTCTAACCATTGATTTACTTGTGATCATTGGTAAAATGGGGGCGGGATTAGCAAAAAAACAAAAAAAACAAAACAAAACAAAACAAAAAACCTCCCTCCATCATCAGTTTATCAGTTTTTATTCTTTGATAGGGTGATAAACTAATAATTTTTTTATGGGGCCCAACTTACGGGGTGCCGTTTGGTAATACTCATTTTCCCCTCCTTCTCTTTATCTCTCCCCTCCTACTCTTCATCTCCCTCCAAAATACCCACCCTCCTTTTGTTCATGTATAATTTTGTATTATGTTGTACATTTAGATGTGTTCATATATGCAATATTTTTCTTTACTTTATATATTTTTCTTTCATCAGGATATAAGTTGGCATTTAACTACATGAAAGCGCGCCGCTACGTTGATGCGATCGATATCTGCCACCAAGTCTTAGCTGATAATCCAAACTACCCCCGTATGAGAAAGGACATTCTAGACAAAGCACGGGCTAGTCTACGAGTTTAGTCATCTGTGTGGAGTTCTTAATTTCTAGACAAAATATGTTTCACATCAAACAAATAGTATAGTAACCTATTAAGATCTATCCTCACTTATCTATCAAGTTTTATCAGAATATCTGCGATTTACCCATGTATAGGTGTGGTATCATATGATGTCTGTATATGAGCAAACCACAGATGTTTGTCACATAAAATGTAAAGTGGACAGGCTCAACCATGTGATTCTCTTTATAGTAGGATTTTTAGACGAAATGGAAATCTTGTCCTTTTACAGGATTTGAATATAGAAGCCTGTGATTACACAGCAAACATCTTAATTACAAATCTATGGCTACATTCTGCTTGAATATGTTGGATGTGTTATATTTGATGTATGTAAACCTGGCTTGTCTTATGCAGATTCAGCATGCAGTTATTAAATTACTTAAACATTTTTTAATTTGATTAGCTGTGGCTAAAAGAACTGAGTATTTTTTATGCCTTTATTTTTATTTATAAATCACCTTGATATTTGTACATAAAAAGTAAAAGATTGGAGTAGCATGTAAGTGGAATTGTAAAGAAGAGAATTTAATTTTCTATAGAGGGCGAACTGCCATGAAAATGTAAGAGTGAATGATGCAGAACAGTTTGAACAAGATGATGTTTTAGATATTACAGCATAGTATATCACCTGTCTCTTATACACATCTAGATGTGTATAAGAGACAGCAATTGGTGACAATCCAATCCACAGGTGACAGCCCACACGCAGTGTATCGATGTATCTTCCAGGATGAGGACGGTTAAGGAGACCGTTCACCAATTTACCTGATATTCGAACTTAAAAAAAAGGGACTTCCCCTAATTTATTATAATACAATGCGGTACGATAATATGATACACTTAAGGAGAGACCAATCGTTTTTGCACAGAAAGATATCACAATCTCTACTTATTTCCTTGTGGTCAACATCATACAAACGGGAAATGCAAAAGATTAAATTAATTAAAGTTTTTTTGTGAAAAAAACATATGGAAAGAAATTGATTGACCTTAAATGCCCCCAAAACCGAAATGGGAAGGGCTGTAAGCAATCTTACTAGTACGCAGGTGCCATCATAATCCAGAGCAGTATTTAACAAAACACAATACACGGTTTCTTTTTCCTTTGGCGGGTTAAACTAGACTTATACTGGAACACAAACATCAAACTGACATCTAAAAATCAAAGTGAACTTATAAGATAGGCCTATCACGTTTTACCAAATTCGTGAATGGTATCACGGACAAACGACGGCCTGAAACAGATTGCGGCACGTCCATACGACGAAATTGCCAGAACAATGTGATTGACACTGTTTCAGTTTATGCATGATGCATAAGAAAATAGTCCTATGTTTTTGTTTTTTCATTACATTTAACCGTACTGTATTATATGTTTTATTGTTCTGAACGTTAGGCCTGTGACTGCAGCAAACAAACTTTTAATAGAAAAAAAAAATCCAAAACCTGTTGAGCTTATTGTCTTCTATATTATATTTGGAATAGGGTACAGCGGCGGCCACACATTTTATTTGATAGCATACACGTCTTTAATCAACAAAATGAACTCAGAAACCGAAATAATTAAATTATTATACTATATTACACAATTATTGCAATTATTTTTTAGCCCAAGCTTGGAAGGCAAGTTAATCACCAAGTTAATATAATTAAATGTTAAAATTAAGTGATGTTTATTAATTATTTATTATTATTAAATTATATTTGCTTAGCCTTCGAATTCATTGCACTTGTATAAATGTTTGATTAATTTTTTGGTTAGTTTTCATTTGATTGTTTCTCCCAGACCTCCACAGGGCCCTTGGCGGCCTCCGCCCCCAGCAGTACGGAAGGAAACCCCCTCCCAAGCACTCACGCTCGGTATTACGTCGCTACCTCGCTATGTCATGGCTCGTCCCTGCAGTAGGCTGCACCTCATTGTGCTTCTACCCACGACGGTGAGTAGGGTATTCGACAAACGGTTTTGTATACTGTGTAGCGGATCGAAATTCGGGCAAATTGGGATTCGGCAAACCTGGTTTCACATATCTTAAGTTGGCAATTTTTGTCATTGTGCACTCGGCAATCTTGGATTCGGAAAACTGGGTTTCGGCACTCTGGCCTAGATCTCAAAATTCGGTCAGAATTTTAAAACAACGTAAAAGAGTGTTTTGTTATTGAGTTACTGATGCAGTGATAATTTATCCAGGCCTGTAGGAAGCAGCTGATGTTAGAGGTCAAGCCAGTGGGAGGGACACCTAACTGGTGTCGCCAGGCTGTGTTTATGAGGGTCCTCAGGAAATAGGAGATTTTTTGAAGTATGACCTTAGGCCTATTATAAGTGAATTTAGGTGGTTATTTCTCCATGAATAAATACAGTACAAGATAACTTAATATAAAATACAATAAAATAACAATTACTTGCAGCCTATATACTCGAGTTTCCGGATATTATGAAATTTTTAAATACAGTAGGTATATGCAATGAAATACGATACGTTATCTTTTGAAGTGCAAGTGAGTATGCACAGGGAAATGTATGTCTGCATTATAACTTACTTATCATGACGAGATGTTGAATTGTATCATTTTTTTTTAATAACATCAATGCCATATGTTCTATTTTCTAATGAGTTTTTCGTTTCTTAATATGTTACTAAAGAGAGACCGATCGAAAGGTTTATATGCCTATACTGTATTCAATAAATGAAGTTTCATTTTTAATTGAACATACAAGGCCCTCGGGTTGGAAGGCAAGAATTTTAACCCCCACCAACATATCCTTCACTACTATGTCTTAGAGATACTGTACATTGTCTGTTTTGAGTTAAGCCTGAAATAACCCAAATTCAATAATTAAGTCGCCTATTTCTGTTATTATTCATAATAGGCCTATAATTATATTGCATTTAGTCGACGGTAAAAAAATTAAGCCAAATATACCTAGGGCCTATTAGGCCCAAATTAAGAAAATTACTTTTTTAGCGTCACATCTCAAAAAAATTTCAGCTGGGGAAAGACCGAATTTCAGGCGAAGAAAGTCATTGATCGAGTTCCTAGTCCACATTTCAAGCGCCCTGAGCATCTTACATTAGATGGATTTGTACGCTATGTAAAACTACACTATTTATTATTATTATCATCATCATCATCATCCGTGTTGGATTAGGTGCTACTTTAGCAGTGCCATAGTAGGCACAACTGAGATTGTATAGGTGCTACTTTAGCAGTGCCATAGTAGGCACAACTGAGATTGTATAGGTGCTACTTTAGCAGTGCCATAGTAGGCACAACTGAGATTGTATAGGTGCTACTTTAGCAGTGCCATAGTAGGCACAACTGAGATTGTATAGGTGCTACTTTAGCAGTGCCATAGTAGGCACAACTGAGATTGTATAGGTGCTACTTTAGCAGTGCCATAGTAGGCACAACTGAGATTGTATAGGTGCTACTTTAGCAGTGCCATAGTAGGCACAACTGAGATTGTATAGGTGCTACTTTAGCAGTGCCATAGTAGGCACAACTGAGATTGTATAGGTGCTACTTTAGCAGTGCCATAGTAGGCACAACTGAGATTGTATAGGTGCTACTTTAGCAGTGCCATAGTAGGCACAACTGAGATTGTATAGGTGCTACTTTAGCAGTGCCATAGTAGGCACAACTGAGATTGTATAGGTGCTACTTTAGCAGTGCCATAGTAGGCACAACTGAGATTGTATAGGTGCTACTTTAGCAGTGCCATAGTAGGCACAACTGAGATTGTATAGGTGCTACTTTAGCAGTGCCATAGTAGGCACAACTGAGATTGTATAGGTGCTACTTTAGCAGTGCCATAGTAGGCACAACTGAGATTGTATAGGTGCTACTTTAGCAGTGCCATAGTAGGCACAACTGAGATTGTATAGGTGCTACTTTAGCAGTGCCATAGTAGGCACAACTGAGATTGTATAGGTGCTACTTTAGCAGTGCCATAGTAGGCACAACTGAGATTGTATAGGTGCTACTTTAGCAGTGCCATAGTAGGCACAACTGAGATTGTATAGGTGCTACTTTAGCAGTGCCATAGTAGGCACAACTGAGATTGTATAGGTGCTACTTTAGCAGTGCCATAGTAGGCACAACTGAGATTGTATAGGTGCTACTTTAGCAGTGCCATAGTAGGCACAACTGAGATTGTATAGGTGCTACTTTAGCAGTGCCATAGTAGGCACAACTGAGATTGTATAGGTGCTACTTTAGCAGTGCCATAGTAGGCACAACTGAGATTGTATAGGTGCTACTTTAGCAGTGCCATAGTAGGCACAACTGAGATTGTATAGGTGCTACTTTAGCAGTGCCATAGTAGGCACAACTGAGATTGTATAGGTGCTACTTTAGCAGTGCCATAGTAGGCACAACTGAGATTGTATAGGTGCTACTTTAGCAGTGCCATAGTAGGCACAACTGAGATTGTATAGGTGCTACTTTAGCAGTGCCATAGTAGGCACAACTGAGATTGTATAGGTGCTACTTTAGCAGTGCCATAGTAGGCACAACTGAGATTGTATAGGTGCTACTTTAGCAGTGCCATAGTAGGCACAACTGAGATTGTATAGGTGCTACTTTAGCAGTGCCATAGTAGGCACAACTGAGATTGTATAGGTGCTACTTTAGCAGTGCCATAGTAGGCACAACTGAGATTGTATAGGTGCTACTTTAGCAGTGCCATAGTAGGCACAACTGAGATTGTATAGGTGCTACTTTAGCAGTGCCATAGTAGGCACAACTGAGATTGTATAGGTGCTACTTTAGCAGTGCCATAGTAGGCACAACTGAGATTGTATAGGTGCTACTTTAGCAGTGCCATAGTAGGCACAACTGAGATTGTATAGGTGCTACTTTAGCAGTGCCATAGTAGGCACAACTGAGATTGTATAGGTGCTACTTTAGCAGTGCCATAGTAGGCACAACTGAGATTGTATAGGTGCTACTTTAGCAGTGCCATAGTAGGCACAACTGAGATTGTATAGGTGCTACTTTAGCAGTGCCATAGTAGGCACAACTGAGATTGTATAGGTGCTACTTTAGCAGTGCCATAGTAGGCACAACTGAGATTGTATAGGTGCTACTTTAGCAGTGCCATAGTAGGCACAACTGAGATTGTATAGGTGCTACTTTAGCAGTGCCATAGTAGGCACAACTGAGATTGTATAGGTGCTACTTTAGCAGTGCCATAGTAGGCACAACTGAGATTGTATAGGTGCTACTTTAGCAGTGCCATAGTAGGCACAACTGAGATTGTATAGGTGCTACTTTAGCAGTGCCATAGTAGGCACAACTGAGATTGTATAGGTGCTACTTTAGCAGTGCCATAGTAGGCACAACTGAGATTGTATAGGTGCTACTTTAGCAGTGCCATAGTAGGCACAACTGAGATTGTATAGGTGCTACTTTAGCAGTGCCATAGTAGGCACAACTGAGATTGTATAGGTGCTACTTTAGCAGTGCCATAGTAGGCACAACTGAGATTGTATAGGTGCTACTTTAGCAGTGCCATAGTAGGCACAACTGAGATTGTATAGGTGCTACTTTAGCAGTGCCATAGTAGGCACAACTGAGATTGTATAGGTGCTACTTTAGCAGTGCCATAGTAGGCACAACTGAGATTGTATAGGTGCTACTTTAGCAGTGCCATAGTAGGCACAACTGAGATTGTATAGGTGCTACTTTAGCAGTGCCATAGTAGGCACAACTGAGATTGTATAGGTGCTACTTTAGCAGTGCCATAGTAGGCACAACTGAGATTGTATAGGTGCTACTTTAGCAGTGCCATAGTAGGCACAACTGAGATTGTATAGGTGCTACTTTAGCAGTGCCATAGTAGGCACAACTGAGATTGTATAGGTGCTACTTTAGCAGTGCCATAGTAGGCACAACTGAGATTGTATAGGTGCTACTTTAGCAGTGCCATAGTAGGCACAACTGAGATTGTATAGGTGCTACTTTAGCAGTGCCATACTTTATTGCCAGCCTGTCTCTTATACACATCTAGATGTGTATAAGAGACAGTATATAGGCCTCTATATATATTACGTACAATAATATAGGCCAGTTATACATATAAATATCTTTAAACAGGAGTTGGTAAGTACTGCGCTAAATCACTTAAACTAATATCGGTAGGAATCAAACCGACATTCCTCCTGATCTCTCTCAGTGCTTTTCTATACTCGGGTATTTGCCACCAGTAAATCGGTGGGTTTGCCATACTATTCACTCGGAGAAGAATTCGGACACATATTGTACAATACATCCATACGTCATTCCGCATCTGCTCTACACAAAAACTGATGACGATGAGCACAAACGATGGGAACCAGCACATCCACATAATCCCAGTTATAATCGCAAACACTTTAAGGATATGCGCGGTTCGTTTCACTCGGTTGAAGTTTCTGCCGAAGGCACGAAGTTCCTTCTCCTGGTGCTTTATGTAGCGATATATTGCAAGATACACTGATGTGTTGAGAAACAGGAGCAGGATAACGAATATTCCTGTTATCAAGTCCATAACCATGCTATTATCCATATGAAAGAACTTAAATATTAGGATCCAGACGAGCAATGGGACGAACCAAAGCAGTATTAATACAATTAACATACTTTTAGTCATAACATTGGATGCGTACACTAACGGAGACGCAACAATTGCTATGTACCTTTCGATTCCAATAGCCGTTAACGAGAGAACAGATGTGACAAAGATACAATAATTTGTGACTTGTAACGATGCAGATTTTGGTATGTCCATAAATATTAAGAAAGCAAAAAATGCAGTTAAGAAATCAGCACACGTTAATGATACAACAAAAACACTCTTTTTCCGATGCAATGATGTCGCTACAATGAAGCCTAACAGTACTATAGTATTCCCGATAACGGCTAAAATGGTGACGATGAGGTAGACTACTCCGAGCGCCAATCCTGGCGGTGTAGACTTCATTGATCTGAAGGTCATCGCTAGGAGCCTGGGTTCCGTGTGCGAGATGTTTGTAGAAATAGTAGTGTTCATTCTGTTTAAAATAAAATATGTATATATATACAAATCTTTTCGTAAGTATAAGTAATCATCAATTTTAAAACGATGGGCGTATGTAGTCAATTACTTCGTTTGGATATGAGCATACAGGCCTACTTAATGGAGGCACAGATGTGAGTGGCTTCACTTCACTCCCATAATCCAAATTTGGGTCATAATGAGCTCCACTTACTCGAAATCGTTCATGTTTTATTTAATTTTCGAAGGACGATTTGCAAAGGAGTCGCCTTCGCGCTGGGAACGTCTGCATTACGTTGCAAATACGTTGCATTAAAATGTGATAAGAATGTACATTGATTAACATTCTTAAATCCATTTGCTGCAAAGGAACAAATAAATTAGAAAATCAAATTATCGTTATTTTGACATATGTTTAGTTTTTTTTAAATGTTATTTCATTTGGAAGTTGACACTTTGATTTAATAATAAATCAAATTTTCCTATTAAAATTGTAATTGGTTTTGTATTCGTTTTAATAATATTATGAAACTTGTGACGAGTTTAATAACACGGGAAGCATAACGTCAATCTGATGACGCAACGGTTTATACAAAATCACAAATCACTGAATGTTGAATCGATAATAATAATGATGATGATGATGATGTTGATAACAATAACAATAATAACAACAATACTCTAATAACAACAAGGATAAAATAACAATAACAATGACAACAATAACAATAAAAATAGCAATAAATAATAACAATAATAATAATAATAATAATAGTAATAATAATAATTAATAATAATAATAATAATACTAATAAGTAGTAAGTAATATTGGTAATATTAGTAAATAATATTATTCCAAACCCATTACCAAACGCCTTTGCTCGGAATGTAGCTAGGCCTACTTTATAATAATTTACCTCGGACGCAGAGTAACGTGGCAGTGTATTAAACCTTATGAAAATGATTTTTTCCTAGATGATTTTCAACAATTTTAAGTAAAATATAACCCTTCGATTAGGAAGGTTCTGAATATTTACAGGTTGATTAAACAATTGGACGCGTTTTTATCACTCTGAAACAATCAATTTATTATGTTTTTATCTCACGCTTAGGCTGCGCATACAGATTGTCATATTATTTTAGTAGAGTTTAGCTTTAATTAAATGAGAGCTGGACAGTACATAAATAATCCATAAAATGCATTACAGTAAATATTATTCATAACGATTGTAGCTCATTCTATTCAATGATAATAGGAGAATATTCATGAAAACATATCGTAGTTGAATTGAAATTGGGTCGCCAAGGATGATAAGCTAGAAAACAGGATCAGCATACCATAAGATACAGATTAAAACCCCTAGATTTATTCAAAACTATTTATGTAAATTTATCACGACATTATTTGAAACACGTTCGTTTTCAGTGACTTATCTAAGAGTATCGAAATATGGGTGGGGCTAATGGGGGCTTGTGGGTGGGGGAGCTAATGGGGGCTTGAATCGACACGAGTAAACGATGGAGTTTGACACTTGAGCAACAGCAAACAGAGGAAGGTGGAAGAAAGAAAGAATGCAAATTATTCGATTCAAATAAAAACAAAATAAAACTATAGGCCTACATAAATATAACCACAACCGTATATTATAAAGTATGAGTATTGTGTAACTAAGCATAGCAAATTCCGTAATTAAACTTGTTCGTTAATATAAAAGACTAAAACAATTCATTATATATTATATAAGAATCTAGATAGGCAACATCGTTTCCTAGATTTGAGTAGATTTATTAGTAGGCCCTACAAAGATCTTGTCAGAATGAGAATCAATCAATAATAAACTCACCTTCTAACCGAAAGCTATTGAAACAGCAATCGATTCCATAAGAGCTATGTTTCCTTGATAAGTACATCGCCCATAATGTGTACAGGACGGATGAATATCTAAATAATTTAAAGAACTAGGTGGCACTGTGCCATCCACATTGGCGAGATGAATTCAAGCATCGAATGCGAAAACCATTAAGCTATCTTCACGTCCGGCGCGGCAAACAGTTATGATAAGAACGCTCCGCTAGATTAGACGTTCCGTCCTTCTTTGGAATATGTTGCCGCTGTTGGTGACAATCATAATAGGCCCGTGCTGATATAGTAAAGTAGGCCTAAGTTAGGAGAAAAATACAGTGCAATGCAGGCAATTGATGTTTTAAGCGGCTTCAATAGGCCATACTTGTAAGCTGTTACATTTGAAGTCTTGCCATAAACAAATTTTTTAAAAAGGCTAATTATCGGAGGAGTTGTGATAAATGAGGGCCGTCGGATCCACACCGGCTGCATCGGACTTGGCCGGACCACTTCTTCTCTATTACTTATTTAAAACAAATATATACTGATACATATAAATCATATGAATAATTATTATCACATTGCATTTTAATGTAATATATTTAAACAAAAATCCACCATACGTTTGTTTAGGGGGTCATCATCGGAATCATCATCATCATCATCATCTCATCATAATTATCATCATCATCATCATTGATATTTGGATGATTATCAACAGCGTCCCTATTATCATTTCATCATCGTCATCATCAATTTCATTATCATCATGATTGTTATCATCGTCATCAACATAATCTTCAACATTATCATCAATGTCAGTATTTATCATCGCCATCCTTCACTGGCCTCATGCCTGTCGTAATGATTATCATTTTCATTAGACTTATATTACCATTATGATATAACGTTTACAATGTAATAATCATCTACTAATAGTACCCGCCATAAATCTTTGCTAAATTCAAACGAAAATTAAAAAAATAACATGCTAAATAAATTTAATTATTTTCGAGTACCGGTAGTTTGTTCCGATAAGAGAACTAAAAACCTTTTTAAGTGCCTCGATCAAAGTCCAAGAAGGTAAATCCGATACCGAAACCAATTTCGATTTGTTTTACTTTTAAGTACTTTCTGCTAACCGACCACTTGATATGAAATGGACAATCAAGACTTAGTTCACCAGTAAGATTCTCATTCAAAACAAGTCTGTCAGCAATGTTCAATCTTCGCCGCCTGGCTAATGTTGAGTCATAATGGAACGCACGCATTTACGAGAAAATAAATTGAAATAGTGTACCGTACACACTGGAGATGATGAGGTTTGGCCAGTCATCAATCACACGCCTTGTTTGTCATACACAAAAGTACAGGCGTTATACATGCAATGCGATATATCTGGTCAAGACGATGGTAATTATTCCCATCACATCTAGACTCATGCCATCAATATATGGACTTTACACGTGGTGTTTCCAAAATTATTATATCAACCATCTTGCATTAATTATAATATATATATAATATTATATATATATATATATATATATATTGCCTATTCGAGGCAGTGCATATAAATGGCTTTATTATTATTATTATTATTATTATTATTATTATTATTATTATTATTATTATTATTATTATTATTATTATTATTATTATTATTGTTGTTGTTGTTGTTTTTCCAATAGAAAACGGTTTGTTTCATCAAACAATTGTGTTTCGGATAAAATTAATTAAGTTTCCTGTGGTGTTCTGTATTGGAACCCGCTCTTTTTTAAATTCACATTAATGATCTTCCTAATTCATCAAACTTTTTTGATTTTCGTCTATTTGCTGACGATATTAATTTATTTTACTCTTTTTGGAAACATTCTTGATTTATCAGATATTATTTTTCAGTTAAAAATTATCAGTTTGTATAATTCTAATAAATTGACAATAAATTCAGAAAAAAAACTACTTTTATGATTTTTTATTTTAAAATTTATATAATTATTAGTACTCAAAATTATTTTTCTATTAATAATGTTTTAATTAAGAATGTTTGTTAATTTTGTTTGTATTATGTTTGACAAATATCTGTCCTGAAATTTTCATATTGAGAATGCATTTAGAAAACCATAATCTGCCTTTGTGTTTAAGCTTAAAATTCTTGATATTTATAAATTACATGAACATATATGTTCTTAGATCTATTTTTGATATTTATCACGGTAGAACACCCCATTCTACTAACGATTACTTACTTACAAAATGTCAATCATCCATATAACACTAAATTTATTAAAATGCTAAGGTTCCCTTTCCCAAGCCTCCTATTAATTTAGGTCAACAGAGATTTTCATTTAATTTTACTAAATTATGGAACATACTTTTAAATACAAATATTCAATGTTTTTCTTTTTCTGCTTTAATAACATGAAATAATCATATCTTTCCTTAGTTAGGCCTACTATAAATATTACTTTCAGGACTCAAATTTTACAGCAGTTGTTAAAGAAAATGTATTAATTATATTTCAGATCAATTTACTTAACTTAACTTAGGCCTATCACATACAATTTTAATTTAAAATTTTATAATTATTTTTGTTTATAATGTTTGTTTATCCTGCTTCCGTTATTATTGTAAATTCTACAATAATTTGCAAGCATTATTCGAGCATTTGAAATACGAATATGAATAGTTTGAATAGAGTTATGATTAGGCCCTAAGTGTTCCACTAGTTCCTCGAGGGGACTAAATCCAGCAACCTCTTGGTATCATTAAGAAAAAGTCTTATATAGTTTTATACAGTATATTTATAGAATTGGTGCATGCTAAATTTGTTTAGTGTCGTGTTGAATAAAAAACACATAATAACACCATATAATGTTAATTTGACGAGCTAGGCATATTTTCTGATATAGTACAGTACAATCACGTTTTATTTGCGTTTATATACCGGATACATTGATCTGTCCATATACATGGTAGTTTAACAGACAACTCACTCAAGGTAGCACAGAGCGAATTATGATTGAAGACATATTGGAGACTAAATACATTCGGCGGTGAGTTTAAAGGAATAACGACTAATCAAGTCGGGTAAATTAAATCAAAGCACGCAGTTAGATAATACTAATAAAGCAATTGAAAGCTACAACAATCGATTCAATCTTCTGTAATATATATTGAAGATTCTACAACCACAACACGTGACAGTTTTGACAAACACATTCGTTCGCTATTTACCAAGTAGGTATGTCTTGTGTATTTTCAATGACACTACACCCACTTCGATCTTACATCTCTTAATATATTAAAGGCTTTTAGTGCTTTGGTGTTTATGTCAATTAGCTCCACATCGTTAAATTTTAGTGTGGCGACCAGTCTAGAATTTTTATCTCTGCTTATATCGTAAAGAAATACCCGTGCCTTGTCCGTTCTCATACACGTAAAATACAGCTCTTTAATCAACTTTTACAAACAGTGACGTACACCAATATTAAACGGCGCCATCATCAGTGTATGTTGACTCAGATTTTACGGTGTTTCAAGTGCATAAACAGAAACGCACTCTCTTAGTAATTAGAGAGCGTTTCATGACAATTTCTATCTAAATTGGTATCCATGCAATGCTTCGCGCCGTGTCCTAATTGGGTGTCTCAATGATAGACATGTTTATTCATATCCATACTTGACAATACGGAGGAGGAATATTTCATCCATGATAATACTATTAGCACTCATTGACTTCTTGATTAGGCATGCGTGCATGAATATGTGTTTCGATGAATGAGCACATTGATGGGGCAACAGATCCGACGTTTCCAGTTTCGACTGCTGTGGTAAGCTGTTTGGTACCATCATACGGCCATGACCACGCGTTTTTTGAGGTGAATATACTTTTGCTCAAAGCTAACGAGTAATTGTGAACATAATTGTAAGGTAAGACAATACAGTGTCCCTGTTAATGTTATTTGTCGTCATATGAAAAAGTACATAAATGCTTAAACGAAACTAAATTATGCTGTTACATCCAGAACGCCATGTATTCTATTCCGTCGATAAAAAATAAAATGAATGCAATGAAATGCGAACTTGGACAACTCAACCATTCCTATCTTTACATTCTGTATCTCCAAACGCGTGGCGTTTTATTATTCACACGCCTCAGCATAAAAAAGGCCCTTAACGCTAAACAAACAAGAAACTTTGCTATAACTCGTAGACCCAACTTGGCATACTGTGCCTTCTCAGAACAACTGATTTTATTCTACAATTTATCGAATTCACAATATTGAAAAACAATTTTACTTCAACTGGCACCGGTAGGCTACTAATAAATATGGGCATTTATAATGCGCCTCTTCCTTGAGATTATAAAGCGCAGGAACAGGCAACCCCACCAGGTACCCATTTTTTGCTCAAGGACACAAGAGGATGCGCAGCGAGGGATTAAAACTCCGACCTCGAGGTTGGGAAACCAAACCGTTTCTGCTGCGCCAAAACGCCATTCTATCTTTGATGTTATTATTTGTTGATTATGTTTAATATCAATATCTAAATAATTAGTGTTTGTACATAATATCACATTGGCAAAACAAAGTGTCAAAATGGAATAGGCCGACGTTTGTTTATTAGAAGGAAGGCGATGACGCAGTGGTTTCCATTCCTGTTCTTAACTTTGTGATACGGTACAGTATATATTCCGTGCTTTGGGACGCCAAAATGAACAGTTCTTTCTTATGGGCACCGTTTCTACTGTCACAAGGAACCGTTGAGGACGTTTCTTCTCGTCAGTAGAAACAAGTCTACTTGTTCTTATTTCATTTGATATTGCCTTGTAATCATTTGGTTTTATGTTTTGCGTTTCGGAGCATTTGTTTATTGTGCTGCTGTATTTTTTTAATTATTATTATGGTTCAACCAGTGTTTCAGCCCTGGTACAAGCACTTCATGACTTATGCAGTACCATATTGTAAAACAGGACCATATTGTAATGCAGGACCATATTAAACAGTGGTAAGATCTCGCCTGTGTATTTATCCTGCCTAAAGATGTTTTAAATAAAATAGAAACAAATTAATAAATTTAAATAAAACTATAATAAAATAAGGAGTGACCACTTTGGTACATATAGAGTGGCTCTATAAGGGACTAGTTTGTGGTGAAAGTAATAAATTGGACTTTAAATTGGCTATTATAAGTTGCGGTGTCATTTATGGTAGTATAACCAAGGCAGCTTATTGAGTGTCACTGCCTTCAAACTAAGCTCGTCGCTCGTGCGACTTTATTGATAACAATTATACATAGGCCTATGGTAAGCAAACCTTATAATGAAAATATTATATTAAGACTAATGGGCTTATGTTAAGGAAATTATGAATAATGATGTTTGAATAAAAAACGGGTTACCGGGTAGCACAGACACGAAGGGACCCTTAGGGGCGAAGAAAGTCATTGGTCGAGTTCCTAGTCCACATTTCAAGCGCCCTGAGCATCTTACATTAGATGGATATGTGCGCTATATAAAACGACACTATTATTACTATTAATGATAAGGTCGACTAGGCCTATATTAAGGAATACCAAATTTTCACGCGTAGTGGCATAGAAACGTAATGACTCACATAAAAGTCAACTGCGCATGCAAGAACTTTGAGTTCTCGCGCGCTGGCGAGTAGTGGGACTCCTCATTTTGCAGACAACGTATGACGCCCGGTAGGAGTTCAATTAGTGGTTATGATACCACCGGTTTATACTTCCGGTGAGATGTAGCCAAATATAGGGCCATAACTGCTATTGTCTGATGATGACGTGTGACACGTCGAAACATGTCGTTTATTTATACAGTATCATTTATTTTATGGGATATATTACTGCATTCGTAATGATAATAATAACAATTATGATGTTGCGCTTATGAAATTTTCATTCTGTATCCGATTGAAATACAGTTTCTATACAGACTCGCCAACGTCCTCATCACAATGTGTACGCGTAACTCTATATGTGTCACGTAGTCTCGAGAAACATGATGCTCAGTTCGTTTGATTGTGAGCAAGACTCACTTTTGTTTGTAGCAGAGACGTCCGACCCGTGCTCTTTCATCTAGTCTAAGTGGAACTTACTATTATGGGCGACATGAACAGAATATATTTGCAGTATAACTGTCATAATAATCAGAATAATGTTTTTCTTTTATACGATTATAGTAACGACGTGTAGACTGGATCTGGCAGCGTACGTGTGGTGTGTTGACACCTCGAATAATGTCGTATACATGTTTTCTACATGACGTAGCCCCACTGAACAACACGTGACGAAACCACTGATACACTAATGACATCGACAGTGAAATGCAGATTCGTGCCAACTTTCTACACACTGACTTACTATTTATCCATGTCAACAGTCTCAGCTCATTCCAAATATTGCCTATCGATTTTAGATTGAAAAACAGAAGAAATACACGACGGCTGTTACCGAGTTCATGCATTAACTAATTCGTCGATGACATCATATCGCTTTTTGATGCACTGGTTATTTGACCTATAACATTTCTTTTTTTTAAAGATCTTTCAAGTTTAAGCATGAAGAGGAAGCTATCTGCTTCCCTAACCGATGATAAATAATTCGCTTTAAATCAAGAATAGTCAGTCGAGCCTTGATATAAAAAATGTAATGTGGATAATCTTCTATTCCTGAATATCCGAAACATGACTTATTTGGTATTCATGTGGTTGCCTGCAACATCAATCTGCTGTAAGTGAATGTCAGACTTCATAATCAACGTCCACAAAAAAGGTAAAACACTGTTCGCAGACTGCTGAAACATTAACGTTTGCTAAATTATCGGCCGACTAAATACATTGATGCATATACGAGATTTGATGAACATTATATAAAGTAGTAAAACTTTGGATTATATTTTCAATTCTAAACTGAAATGTACAGGCATGTTACAGAGGCTGTGTTTGTCAATACAATGGACGTTTATAGATTCAACAGTAGAATATATAATTCACTGTTGTATTGTCTATTGCTAGTCGTCATGTACGTAGATTATACCAAAGCTATACCGCATCGACGGAAATTAGACTTGAGTACAAGTAGAAATAATATACGACTGGATACGGACCGTACTTATATAATTAATTCCAACTCATCAGCCGTCGACAGACTTTACGATCGTAATTCTACTGATAGGCCTACGTATTCGATAACTAATATCAACGATTATGATTCGGACTATGACGCGGCATCAAGCTCCATGTATGTTATAATCATTTTAACAGTACTGGTTATATCTGCTCTTGTAATGCTTGGAGGATATCTATGCCACAAAGGAGAAGCCTACCGACAATCGTAGCCAATTAAATAACCGAATTGACAGATTTAAGGAAAAGAGATCAAATGTGCTGAACATGTTGGGCAGCATTACGTGATATTTTTCGATCCCTAAGTATTTTTTATCTCAATGCTGTTACAGCCAGGCCTGTTGAAACGCATGCTAATATGAGTATTGTCCGTTTGCAAACAGTTCTAATTGGAACTCGATGGCTTGGCACGGTAATTATATTGAACACGTTTTCAATAAGGATATTTGGTCTACTGTCAGAACGGTAAATAAGGTCTCTTTGATGAATTGTGATTCCGCTTGGAAAATTGGAAGGTTTTTACCAGATTTAAAAATGTTTATATGCAGTTGTGAAAATTTTCAAGTCAAAGCCATTCAGTGTTAAGTCATCATATTGGTTTCAGATTAAAGACTATAGGCCTATGGACCAAAAACCAAAACTACAAAAACAAATGTTTAATTAAAAAAACAGAAAAAAACAAAAAAAAAAAAAACAAACCCAAAACCTCCGCACCTTGGATCGTTATTTGGTCATAACTTAGAGCCTCAAAATTGCTTAGACAGAAGAAATGTTATTGCTACCTTCTGTTTGTGTTAGGCCTTATTTTCACGAACTGCTACGCAAATGTCAAAAGTATGAATCTGTGTTCAACGGGTAGACGTCCTACCGTACGATTTGATGGCAGAAGACAAGGAAAACTAGGAACGTGGCAAGAATAGTGTTTTATATAACGTCGTTGACCATCTTGGCGATGTTGTAGGTCGACTGTGGGCAAAGGCTAAAGTGGAACTATTCTCGTAAATGTCAGACATTATATGCCATTTCTCCAGAACAGGATTAAGAATTATTAGCTCTACAAGTTCACGTGAATCTTTGGGTCATTTAATATCAATAAAAGAGGAAGCCTACAAAGCGTTACTCTATATCGTCTACTCCTCACATTAGCTTATGAATTCTGTTTAAATTCCTCCATGGGACAACACAGTATCTTTTTTCACAGTGTATTTTCACTTTAAGTAATCAAATAATTGTTTTTAAGTACTTATAGAATTAAATGAACCAATGAAATATTATTTTTAGTATAAGAATTATATAAATGCCAGCTTGCACAAATGCTGGCCTCTTGGCGATTTACATAATTATACCTGTCATTTGAACATAATGATGACAGGAATAATGATAAATGGCTGTTATGATGAACATGCTAATTGTCGATGTTGCTTTCACATGATTACATTTTAGTTCACTATTCTGGGTCATTGATACACAGTTATGTCTCCCTTGGTATTTATTAAAATATAAACAAATTATCATTAGATTCAGATGTTTAATTGCACGTTAGAACTCTTAATTCTACATGCATGTACATGCATTATTTGTTTTGAGTATTATAATCGCTATCCCTCCAGGAGAATAAATCACGGATAGTATAAATCATGGGTGTGTACCGTATATAATAAGCATTGGAACTGTTATACTGTGATTGATTTTTGAATTATATTGCTAATAATTGGCCTGATTGTAATTGTACAGCCAAGTATACTCCCCAGGGAGCAAACATCTTTAGGTGACACTAGCCAATGTGAAATTTCCCCTTTACTAGGAATTTAGTCTTACAATATGACCTAGATTCTATGTAATTTAATGTTTGTCCTAAGAACAAGCTCCAGTAATAATTATACGTATGATACATAATTATAGTTATAAATAATTATTATGCTAATGATGATATTGATAGGCCCTATTATGAAAATATTGATAAATCCATAATGATATTAATCATATTAATAAATCATTACAGGTACTTGAAAAATTTATTGTATTGTCTCTTGTTTAATAAAATTTGTATTACTGTCATTAGCATATTAAGTTAACAATAATTGTCTTGAGTTAACGTACCATGGGTTTATGCATGGTTGTACATGCGAATTATGTTGTGAATAAAACATATGAAAAGAGAGATAATAATATAGTTAAGGGGTAACCCTAATCAGGGGATCATATATTAAGTGGGCACTATTTTGGTCCCAAAAGTGTCCCTTAATTAGGGTTCTACTGTATTAGGCTTGGCCTATTACTTTTGTTATTGCTGTTGATTGGTTCATCATCATTATTTTTATCATTACTATTACTATTACTAATTATTATTATTATTATTATTATTATTATTATTATTATGATTATTATTATTATTATTATATTATTATTATTATTATTATTATTATCATTATCATTATTATTATCATCATCTGTTACTGTCTGTTATTATTACTATTATTATTATTATTTTCTATATTTATCTTTATGTAATATGTGTGTATGATAATAAAATCCCAGGAACGTGAATACGCCGACGATCACTGTAAATATCATCACAGATAGGCCTATTACTGGTACTAATACAAATAGCCATCTTTAAAAAAAACATTTGGCAGACATTGACTTGAGGTTGTCATTAGTAGAATACTGCTTTTAAAAACTTCGGTATATAATTTGAAGCGAACCAACAGCAACATTGTCATATACTCAAAGAATTTCTTTGAAAAGTATATTGAGGCGTTTACAAGATGCGAATGAATAAAGACTGCTTTACTTATCGCAACTGTACAATCATTCTGCATATTCACAAGTCAGATTTTGACTCAAGTAATGCATCACAGAAATAACATTGTCACTTAATATCCGATCTATACTATCTATTACTAGAGTTTTAATGACCTTTACAATAAAAGAAAATATGCCTAAATTACGACAAATAATTTACGGGTATATTTTTAAACCGCGCTTGTTAAGTTTCATCCAGCAACCACAAATCGATGTTAGGGTAATCTCAGTTTTGTGAATTTAGCGATAGGGTAATAATATCTTAGCAGAGTGTATAGCGGTAAGAAATACATGCGCCGCGCACTATGTGATGGAAACCACGTATAGGATAAGGTAACGTAATACGGTGAGGTTTTGGTGGCGGTTGGAAACGACTGTTGGTATATTGGAGCGTTTACTGTCCGATGACGCACGCAATCTGCCGCACAATTTACCTATCTGACTTACGTAAATGACTTTATTTTTTATAACATTTAGTTTCTTTTAGTTTAGTTGTTTTTTTCTTTCTCATTGAACGCACAAAATTGTTGTGTGCCACTGAAACAAAAGTGTGTGTTCAGTTGAATAAATAAATAAATAAATTTGGCGTAAGCAGAGCTCTTGTGTGCTGCAGGTTTTATGTTGGTGATGAAAACTGCGTGTTAAGTACAGCGATTTCAAGTGTGTTGGTTTATTAAAGTGATATCATACACGCGCCGTAATTCTTTAAATTTACCTCACTCAGTAAGAAATAATGCAGTATCGCTGTGGATAAGATCATTGTGTAAAATGGTAGGACTTAATAATAACAACATTTTGTTATAGATCTGTGCATAACGACATTACCATTGGGCTGTTGTTGACTGTTCACATATCGATTTGTCTAGATCAATGAGTAAATGGACAAGGCGGATTAATATCAGTTTGATTAATGGGAGATCCTCTTAATGAAACATTTGGTTAAAACCAAATTACAAATCGACCTCTATGCAAAGGGATTTATTAATTAATGGTTAATTAACGTTGCATTGAACAATCATTAATTTTAGTTATAGCATCCAAATTGCCGATCAGATTATGTATTGTCACTGATTGGCATCCGATAACTATATTTCTTTATGGTTATAACCTAATGCTTTCCTGTTTTTGCTATGTATCCAATTGTAATATCTCATTTCTTTAACGATGGCGACGGATATAGATTACTTAAAACTTTAAGATAGAAGTGTCGTTGTGTAAGACATAAAGCCGGCTATACACTGCGTAGGCAGGCGATTGCGCTGCCGTCGGCTGACAAATCCATCCGTTATGACACACGCCGTACGCTGATGTCGGTGGCAGACGCGTTGCGTTAAGCCAGGTAGGCCTACAAACTGCTACCGTCGTGGATTTATAACTGTAACAGTTATAAGTCCTTGGTCGTACGCCGAATCCAACTCCGCTCCCTGTGAGCGATGCTGCCTGCCGATTGTCAGTGCAGTCTGGACGGATCGTAGTGCAGTCTGGACGGATCGTCATTTTAAAACGATCCGTTGCGCGCACGTCGTCGCTTTCTGGTTCTAGTTCTGGTGGGTAAAGCCGACCTCCTAACGACTCCAAAAGTGTAAGAGTACCGTATACCATACAGGAGGGGTAGAAATAGTGTCGAATGTAAGGGAAAGGTCCACCACCGCAGTTTAAGACACGCAGCGTCAGTCATGAGCAGGCTTCCTGAACCGCCTCAGGCCGCATTGAGGACCTGATAGGTAGGATTCTCACAATCACACGAGCATTGGCTTTGCGAAAAAAAAATAAAATAAAAAACACATTTGGTTGTGAAATCTCGGAGCGTTGAGAGGTAGAGTAAGCGAAAATTACACCTCCAAGAAAGGAGGCGACAAAAGGATGCTTTAAGGATGGCGTCTTCCGACGATCTCGGCTCAGTGTGGCCGTCGTACGTGCTAAAATAGGGGTGGAATAATTTTGATTAATTCCATAACAATGTGATTGGAAAACGAGTGCAGTACGGTATCTTATACCATTAGACCACATCTGGGCCTATGATTAAATCCAAACGCTAAAGATAAGAGAGACGGTCACTCCGGCCTGCTTCAGGTTTCGAACCTTTACCTTTACCTTTACCTTACCTGTGAGATTGAAAGCAACATCCTAACACTGAACAGTTGAGTCACACACCCATATTACAATTTGTTCCAATGCACTGGGATTGTAAGACAAGCAATTTAAACAGCAAGTCAGATAAGATTGCCCCCCCCCCCACCTCTCCTGGAATTGGAAGACGAGTAAGTCACGTCCATTTAACCAAATGATTGGAAAAGGGTCTCTTAAAGAGTAGTCATACACACTTAAGTTTAATACCCTGGCATTGGAAGACGGACATCTTAACCAGTAAGTCACAACCATGTACACTTAATACACTGGATTGGAAGACGAGCTTCGTAACCATTAAGTCACATCCATACACTTAATACACTTGGATTAAATCAATGTCACTGAATTAGAAAACAAAAATTTATAGGATTGTAACCGATGCCCTGGGACTAGAAAACGAGCATCTTAACCAGTTATCCATATTTAATCCAATGCCATGGGATTAAACGATATTCTTAAAGGTACGGTATAGTGCTAGGGCTTCTAATAGTCTTAAGAATTAAATGAATTGTCCTACTATTTAAGTTTGAATATATCATTAGCTTACAACTGAAAATCAGAGCAAGAAAAATGTTTTAGCTTTTTAAAAATTTTATAATTTCAGTTTCTTACAGCTAATTAATTCATTAAGCCTAATCATTATAGGAAAGTCTACTTTTTCGATCAGTACTTAATGAAACTTAATAAAATGAAACTTAATAACTTGCGTAATTCTTTTGAATGAGCAATTTTATGTCTTCTTCATCAGTGGCAAAAGTTACCAAGCAAGAACATTTTTGATTATACCGAAATAATTTCATATCAGTCTGACGCGTTTGTTTACGTTTAAACAACGCATATTAGTGTCAATCTGACGCGTTTGTTTACGTTCCAATACAGTAAATTACATCGTGGTGTACGATTATCGTACTACTTGGTAGAAATGACCAATAATGACGATGAGTCAGTTATCGGACTCGCAACATTCCTACTTTCAAAATACCTAAACAATTGAACCGCTGATAAGACAAATATTATTATACGCAGTATCGAGAAAGCAAGTTTATGTAAATCAAGAGGCCCTAAGAAAAATATATAGCTTTTCAATACTGTTTATATTTTTATTTTAAAAAGATAGGCTATTTATATATAGGAAAACATAATTGATTCACTGTTGTACAATATGATTACCGGTACTTTTTGTAAAAAATACCCCAACAAAACCAGTTTATCGAATGTTCAAAAGATAGTTATAGGCACAGAATGAGTGGGAGGGTGGAAGGATAGGCCTGATTATCGGATAGTACTGTACTTCCTTTTAAATAGGCCTAAAAGAGACTACTAACAATGTTGTGTTCAGAGATTGAGGCTGACATCGCTTAAAAATTAAGAACAAATTAAGAACAAATTGAGGCAGAGGTAAAATGTCAAATGATGTTTTTCCTTTTTAAAAATAGAAAACCAGAAAATCTTATTTGAACCTTATTTACAGTAGTGACTATGTAATACCCTAATACAGCACTAAAATGTACTGCTTTAGACCTACAATAATAATTTGTTTGAAAAGTGTGTACAAATAAAAACAAAATAAGCCTGAAATCGGAAAAAATAAGAACAATGTTCCTGGGCAAAATTTTACTGGTTCTTATAATATTTTAAAAAAGTGTACTACGTAGCAGTCCTCGACGCAATCAGGAAGGTTCACGGATTCGACCTAACACTCAGCATCACCGAAAGTTGTGGAAACCAAGCAAGCTTAAACTGGGATTTGGAATTGTTGAGTCGACAATCTTGCATTTAGCAATCTGAGTTTTTGGGCAAATAATAGCGGAAGTCGGCATTTGGCACTTCGACAGAGGTGACACCGATGTCTTGAAAAGCTGGTCCCCATTCTTCGGGGGAAAGAAACCAAATCGTCTGCGAGAAAGACAATTCTTTGTAATTTTTACAGTTTAAGGGCAATTCTAAAGGACATGGAATTGTTGAATCAGAAACCTGACATTCTTAAAACATCTGCAAACTGGCTCGATTCTTAGGATCTTAGAAATACCATTGATAGTGGGGCGGATATGTGACTTGGGCGTGCACTTCTGGAAAGAAGCATGAAAATTTGTCCTAGGGGTTTTTGAGTACGGTATGCCGATTTCAAAAATTGCGGGAATCACGACGTCACTCTAACAGTTTTTGCCGAAACTTGAAAAAATAAAAATGGCCGCCAAAAAACATATTTTTGGCAGTTTAAAGGCTCTAAGAGCCCATGTTACCATATTCTTGGTGTCAATACCTATGCTCTTTAGTTCAAGGAATTCAATAAAACATTATTAAAATACAGTAAATACATTTTTACCGTGGAAATGCAAAAATATATAGAATATTCAAATTGGCTGCCAAACAACACAATTTTGGCAGTTTAAAGGCTTTAAATACCCATATAACCATAATCGTAGTGTATTTATATATATGTATTTATATATATGTAAATATATATATATATATATATATATATAT